TCAAATACGATATTTGTAAAAAGTACCTAGCACAGTGCCTGGCACATAGTAAGTGCTGTATAAAACATTTCTTCCTCTTTCCCTTTCCCTTCATTTGATGGTAATTTATTGACAAAAATGGCTCCAGGGGCAGCTAAGTGGAGTGGTGGATAGCACACCGGCCCTGGAGTCAGGAGGACCTGAGTTCAAATCTGACCTCAGACACATAACACTTACTAGCTATGTGACCTTGGGCAAGTCACTTAACTCCATTGCCTAGCTTAAAAAAAAATAAAAAAAGAAATCCTCTAGATAAAAATGGCTCCATTGTCAAGCTTTTGGTCCAGGGAATCAATCAATGAATCAATCAACAAGTATTTATTAAGCACTTACTCTCTGTCAGGCACTGTGTGCTAGGTGCTGGATACAGGCACAAAGAATAAAACTGATGGGGGCGGGGCCCAAGCCAAGATCTTCACCCTTTGCCCCAAAGGGAATCTGACTCACAAGCCCCAGACCCTCATCTCCCTTTGAAAACCTTAGCCTTACCTTTTAATCTTATTCAGATGTACGCCCTAAAAGAATCTGGCTCCCTTTTGTCTATAGGCCCCAGAAAGGCCTTCCTTTGTCTCCTTTTGAAAGTCCTAGCCCCACCTTGATTTTGTGCAGATGCCTTTCAAACTTCTGCCTTCCTGTTCCCTCCATTATCTATTCCCATTGTCTATTCAATCTCTCTGACCTCATCAATTAGAATTCTTACCTAGACCCTTTTCCCAACCCCCTTCTCTGACCACCCAAAGTTACTTTAGTATTTAAGATCCACCTTGGCCCTCATTCAGATGCTGAGAATCTCAGGCCCAGAAGGCTAAGAACCTCTCATGCCCACTAATCTTTACTGGCGACCCAGCTGAGAATCTCTTGTGCCCCAAAGGCTGAGCCTTTCTCATCCCTCCTGTCCCTACAGGGGTGTCACCTGGCCTCTGTGATTTATCACTAATAAACTTTTCCTCTGGCTGAAGAAGATTTGAGTTGAATTCATTCAGCAGGGACCCCAAAAGTCCTAGACCTCTTCAAAACCACCCCTAGAGTCTTACACTTTAATGAGTGAGACGAGAAGTGCATATAAAACAAATACCACATAAATACAAAGTTAATAAATACAAATATGTACAAAGTGATTAAATGAAAGGGGAAGACACCAGCAACTGCTGGAATTAGAATAGGTTTCAAGCAGAAAATGGTGCCTATGCTGCATCTTAAAGAAAAAGAGAAGCTCTGTGAGGAAGAAGCTAAGATGGGCGGTGTTCCAGGCATGGTGTGGAGGGTGGCTACAACAAAGCCATGGTTCAGGAGATGGAGTTCCCTGGACAAGGGGCAGGGTGAAGGTCAGTTTGGCTGGATCACAGAGTGCAGGAGGCAGAGTAATACAGTGAGGTTAGAAAGATGAGTCAGGGCTGGTCAAGTGGGGCTTTAAAAGCTAAACAGAGGAGTTTATATTTGATCCTAGAGCCAATAGGGAGCTACTGTAGTTGGCCAAATAGAGGCAAGAAAGTAAATTTCCATTCCTTTTGGATCGTTAACTATTTTTTGAGCACAAAAGAATTATTGAGCAAAATGTAGCCAAATGCCCAATAAGAATATGCAAGGTAATTTGGAGCCAGATTGGCTAAGAAAGTCACATAAAGAATGTTTAAGGCTCAAATCGGAATCTTCTACAATGAGAAAATTAGCTTGAAGAAGAGAAAATTTGAGGGTGGGTTGGAACATAGCCATCTATAGTCTATGTGAGGGGCTGTCACATGGGTATCGGATCAGACGTGTTCTGTGTGGGTCTGCAAAACAGAACGAGGAGAAAAATGCCTGTTGTGGAGACGAGGATTTTGGCTGGACATAGGGAGGAACTTTTGAGTCATTAAAACTGTTAAAGAATGGAATGCTCTGTCTTGGAAAGTAGCAAGTACCACATCTTTGGGGTGGGAGGTGGAGTATTCAAATCGAGGCTGAATAAATCACTCTTGGGATCATTGCTAAGGTAGGTGGACACTAAGTCTCAAGATCTCTGAGGTCCCTTCCAAAGATTCTACGTAGAGGTTTCCATTCATGAATTTTAAGAAATCATTTAAGATTTTATACACACACATACATACATATCTATACACACATGTATGTATGTATGTTTATATACATGCATGTATACATACATATACATCTGGAATTCCAAAGTCCTCCCACAAAGATTCATTCTAGAATCCTAAATGACACCCAGAAGCATTCTTTCAATACATAGGGCAAAAGGGCCAAGACAAAAATTCCCCCTTGTATTAGCTGGCGAGGGGTAATCAACAGCAGATGAAAGTAGGAGGCAGAGAAGCATTTAATCTCCACCGGTTTTTATGCAATCTTACAGAAAAGGCCAATAGCAACTAAATATAGAACATATACTATCTAGGATAGGAAGGTAGAAAGTCAATATTAGATACGGAAGGTTATCTTCTAAGACTGTTTATTAAAACTCAATGTTTTCAAATAAGCAAGCTCCAATGAAAAGTCACAAAAGTCACAGTGCACTACAGGCACAAGGCATGTAACACAGGCTGGGAGTCCTCAGTACACATGGGCACACACTATTTGATCTAACAAGCTGGTGTGGCTGCAGAGAGGATGAGCAGCAATACATTGTGATATTCAATAATCACTCATCTAATAAGTGGTTACTCCGTGTTAGGCACTTCTACGCGCTGTGGGAGATACAAGGCGAGTACAAGATGCTGCCCTGGAGCCTCTAGTCCAGGTGGGGAGCTAAGGTTAACGCACCTAGTCAAATAATAACACAAGACAGTGAGTTGTTGTTGTGGTTATTGCGGTTGCTGTTATTGAGTTGTTTCTGACTCTCCATGACCCCATTTGGGTTTTTTTAGGGGCAGAGATACTGGAGTGGTTTGCCATTTCCTTCTTCAGGTCATATTATAGATCAACACTTCTTAAAATGTGTACCACGACCCCATAAAATTCAGCAATAGTAAAAGGTTTCTGAACATGCGATGACCAAAAATTAATTAAATATCAAACACACAATGAATCCGAGGTGTTTCTGTCACTGCTCATGCCCAAGTTGCATCCAAAGACTTCACTGTAGCCTTGGTTCTGAACACAAAACATGTCTACTTTGCACTGTGCATGCCCTCAGGCCATGCAATGCCAATGATGGGAAAAGGGGTCAAGAGTGGAAAAAGTTTAAGAAGCCCTGTTCTAGATAAGGAAACTGAGGCAAACAGAGTTAAGTAACTGGCTAGTAAGCGTCTGAGGCTGGATTTTTAACTCAGGAAGCTGAGTCTTCCTGACTTCAGGCCTGGTGCGGTAACCATTGTACTACTTAGCTGCCCCAAGGCAGCAACAAGTGACAAATAAGTGGAAAAGGAATTTAAATTCCATGTAATTTCACAGGCAAGAGAGATCAATGTGGTGTGCAGAGCTTCTGTACAGAAGGCTTCACGGAGGATATGGGACTAGAGTGGAACATTGAATTGTGGGTAGGAATTGGATAGGCAGTAAAGGAGGGAAGGGGGAGACGAATGTAAATAACGGTGAGGAGTCAGGAATGTGCTGGGTATGTTGGGGAGTCATTAAGTAGATCCAGGATAGTGTTTCATAATGAAATTTTAAAGGTAGGTTGATATAGAAAGGGCGGCTAGGTGGTGCAGTGGACAGTTCTGGGCCTAGAGTCAGGAAGACTCCTCTTCCTATTAAAATCTGGCCTCAAACACTTAACTAGCTGTGTGACCCTGGACAAGTGACTTGACCCTGTTTGCCTCAGTTTCCTCATCTGTAAAATGATCTGGAGAAGGAAATGGCAAACCACTCTACTATCTTTGCTAAGAAAATCTAATATGGTGCAGTGGATAGAGCATCGGAGTCAGAAGGACCTGAGTTCAAATCTGACCTCAGACACATAACATTCACTATGTGTGTGACCCTGGGCAAATCATTTAGCCTCAATTGCCTCACAAAAAAAAATCTAAAATGGCATCACAGAGAGTCAGAAACAACTGAAATGATTCAACAACAACAACAACAAAATGATATAGAAAGGCTTTGGGGTGGGAGGGAGGGAATTAGAATTCAACCTTCAAATTTTACAGATGAGACAAACGAGGTCTAGTGAGGGGTAATGACCCATTGAACGTTGCAGCAATAATAATAGTGGCAACAGTCAGGGCCCACAGTTTTACTTAATAAGAAATCACTGGATAGATGGAAAATTATTTAGATCGCATTGGCTAGAAATGTTTTTTTTTTTTTACGAATCAATCTTATAAACACAGTACCAAGATTTACCATCCTAAGCATGGGTTCTTGCTCACTTTAACCAGCCCAAATCAACCTCATGGGGGGGGGTTAGGTATATGAGATAGGCTTTCCATCCATTCAGTGCTCCTTGTTTGTACCCCAGACTAAGACGCAGAGAGCTCTTTCCCGGGCCTTTTAAAATGCAACCAAAGAGGCTTTGAAAGAGAGCCCCATTTCTCATTATTCACCTTTCCCCACTGCCAAAGCTTTCCAGGTAGGGGACCTTTTGTTTCCCCAGGGCCACTGGGCCAGAACAGAGGACAGCTTTTCACACTAGGCTTTGGCTGTCTGCAGATACCGGCTCTCTCATTCCCAGACCTGCCATTCTTTTAACCTTCAGCTCCATAGAGGCCCAGAGAAGGAGGGGGAAAAAAAGCCTTTTATAACCAAATTATCTCTGTGTATTCATCTGCCATTATGTTAATGCAATGTGAAGCTCAGCAGATGGCACAAAGTAAATTATGCTGCTGGAAAAAAAAAAGAGAGGGAGAGAGAGAAAGAGAGAGAAATTGACCTTTTCAGGACTCGTTCAGATTCCAAAGCCGAGTTTGCAAACTAAAGTTTCAAGCTTGGCACCAAGGCACACAGTGATTTACAAGAGGCAGCTGAGGATAGGGTTAGTAGCTCTCAGAGTCCTCTCTTGGGCCCTGGATTTTGCTTGGCTTTTCACTTACCTGCACATTTTCTCAAAGAGCTCGGCATACCCATCACAGTTACTCTTCTGGCTCTGCAGAATGTCAGTGGGCTTGTAGGACCGGCGGTCCTTCTCCTGGGCAGCCACGATATCATACTCTGGAGGGACAAAGGTGGAGAAGAAAACATAAGAGGATGGAGGGCATGCTCCTCCCCAAAGAGGAAAATGGCAGAACAGAAGGAAACTGTTTCCATTAGGACAGCTCCAATTATCTGATAATCGCTGGGTCTTGAACTTGTGATTTCATGGGCATAAGGAACTGCTGGTGTGGAGGCTCCCTCACCCAATGTAGGTAGTCCTCAGCTATGCAATTTATAAACTTAGAGGGATAGCTGGGGCATTGAGAACTGTGAGTGACATGCCCGGGGTCACACAACCAATTTGTGTCAGTAGGGGGTCTTGAATGTAGGTCATGCTGACTCTCTGGATCCATAACATCTCTCCTGATCATCATTACCATGTATAACACTGGCTCATAAATAGCTTTGTATTTAAAAAAAATTGAAAGTAGGCCCTATGAAAATGAGGCACTGGACCTGAAACATATTTCATAAACTCCTCTTCTTTCTGTTTCCATTTGGATTGGTTTCCAGGGGAACCTGGATCTGGGAGGCCACTATGCTGTGATTAGCACATTCACCAGAGTGGAGGCAGATGTAAAAGAGGTAAAGGCAATTTGGGACAGTCTTTTTATGAGTACTTTCAGTAAAGTTTGGAGGGGGAAGAAGGTTAAAATAGAATTTAGAGACTGTAGATTTCAGTTACACCTGCTTGCTCTCCCAAACCTCCCAAGCATGTAAAATCTGAAGCTGGCAGCTAGGTGGCACTGCTGATAGAGCGCCAGGCCTGGGGTCAGGAAGACCTGAGTTCAAATTGGACTTCAGACACTTACTAGCTGTGTGACCCTGGGCAAGTCACTTAACCCTGTTTGCATCAATTCCCTTATCTGTGAAATGAGCTAGAGAAGGAAATGGCAAACCACTCCAGTATCTTTGCCAAGAATCCCAAATGGGGTCACAGAGAGCCGGACATGACTGAAATGGCTGAACAACGACAATAATCCAGAAAATCAATTCCTATGCACACTTTTCAAGAAGCCAGGCCTACTGGGGGTGGTAAAGTCTATAAAGAGACTCACGTCCTATTAGACTGAAACAAAGGGGAGGGAGGGATCTCTGGGCTGGATGGGTAGCATTGCATTAGCTCCTGGGGCCTGTACCCACTGTCTTCAGCTGAGGGTTTCTGAATGGATGTCAGAGGAAGGAAAAATAGACTCACAAGGAATGCCAATCAAGCTATGAAAGTTGAAGCCTGGGGACCAAAGTGCTGCTGCTCTGTTATTAGCCGCCACACCAAGAGATTGATTCCTACCATTTTATGCTCGCTGTCATGAGGGCAGTTGAATAGTAGAATCCTCATAATTTCCAAACAGAGGGAGAAATCTGCCCCTGAATGGAATATCTAAGTGATCAGGGGTTCGTTGGAACATAGTTCAGTGTGCCAGGAAATGCTTTTATTGGATGAATGGCTTATAGCACTGGTCCTGTGCCAAGATCAGAGGTCCTGGTGATCTGTTTTTAAAAGTGACACTCTCGTCATAAGGGCAAAGTCTATCCTCCAGGAGACACTACAATTAACTGATGTGTAGAAGGAATCACTGGGAAGGACAGGTGTGTGATATATATATTCACATACACACATATATGTATATGTATATATGCATATATACATATACACATATATACATATACATGTGTATTATATATAAATGTCTATAAGAACATGCATGAGTGTGACTTTATATGCAGGCATATTTGAATGAATACACATATGTGCATCTATATGTGTATATGCATATGCATATGTATATGTATACAGTTACATTATACATACACACACATACACATATATATGAATGTACCTATAGATAAGGGTCTATGTGTAAGTGAGGGTGCATATTTGTGTGCATGTAAGTATATGTAAAAGTGTATGTGTGAATGTGTAAGAAGAGATCTGGCTGTGAAGGCAGGCATATGTATGAGTGTAAATGCATGTGTATTAATGTGTGTGTATACACAAGTATACATATATATATATATATATATGACAGCATATTGTGTCTGTGTTTTTGAATGTGTATGCTTATATATCACTGGGTATATGAGCATCTATTCATATACATGCATGTGTATATATATGTGTGTATGGGGGCAACTTGGCATAGTAGAGAACTGGTCTTGGAGAGAGAAAGATTGGGGTTTAAGTCCTGCTTTTGAAACATAACGGAAAGGAGGGGAAAGGCACTTACTATATGTCAGGCACTGTGTAAGCTCTTTACAAGTATGACCTCATTTGACCCTCTTAATAACTTAGGGAGGTAGGTACTATCATTATCCCCATTTTACAGTTGGTATAACTGAGGCAGACCAAGGGCAAGTGACTTACTTCCCCAGAGTCACACAATGCTAGTAAGTGTCTGAAGCCAAATTTGAACACAGGTCTTCTAACTCCAGGTCTGGTGCTCTAACCATTAGGTATCTAGCAGCCTGTGTCACCCTGCACAGGTCCAACTCTTTAAGACTCTATATTGCAGAGAAGGTGCTGCCATGTATTGGTAAAGGGCACTTACTCATGCGGGAGTTTCCTATACCATACAAATCTCAGGTCCAGTCTCTGTCTCTGTATGTGTATATCAATTGTTGTTGTTCAGTTATTCTCAGTTGTGTCTGACTTTTCAAGACCCCATTTGGGTTTTCTTTTCAATATCTTTTTTTTTAGTGAGGCAATTGGGGTTAAATGACTTGCCCAGAGTCACACAGCTAGGAAATATTATGTGTCTGAGGCCAGAGTTCAAATCAGGACCGGTGCTCTATCCACTGCACCACCTAGCTGCCCCTCTTTTTGATATCTTTATACTGGAATGGATTGCCATTTCCTCCTCTGGCTCATTTTACAGATGAGGAAACTGAGGCACAGGGTTAAATGACTTGTCCAGGGTCACATGGCTGGTAAATGTGTAAGTCAAGATATGTGTCTATCTGTGCACTTGCATGGGAGGAAGAATGGTAACAGCAGCGGCAGCAGCTAATATTTACATAGGGCTTACTCTGTACTATGTGCCAGGCACTGTGCTAAATGCCTTACAATTATTACCTCATTTAATCCTTACAACAACCCGGAGAGATAGGTGCTGCTATTAGTTCCATTTTAGGGATAAAAAAATAGACCCAAACAGGTTAAGTGACTTGCCCAGGGTCACACAATAGAATGGAAAAGAGGGCTGGGCCTGGAGTCAGGAAAACCTGGGTTCAAATCCCACTTCTGACATCTATTAACTGAATGACTGTGAGCAAAACACTCAACCTCATCTGTAAAATGAGGACTCTGAATGCTTCCCTCATGGGGTTTTGTGAGACTCAAATGAAATAATGGTTGTAAAGTATACTTTGCAAATGACAAAATGCAATGTGAACAACAGCTATTTTACTATAATTTATGAGTTAATACATATATTAGTGTCCATTATATATGTGTGTGTATGTGTGTATAAACAGTAAGCACACACATACATGTTTTTGTGTTAACTAGCTGTTGTTGGGTTGGACCGCAGTCAGACAATAAACATTTATTAAGTACCCACTATGTGCCAGGCACTGTGCTAAGTGATGGGGATACAAAGAAAGGCACAAAACAGACCCTGTTCTTGAGGCGCTCACAGCCTGGCAGAGCAGGGGAATGGGGGAAGATAAGAGGAATCTATGGAAGCAGATGGTATTGTGGGTTGTGTAACCTTGTACCTGTACCAGGTGAGCAGTCCCCTTCTATTTAGCATCATTTGGATTAGCCTACCAATCCAAATAATGCCATCTGACATAATTTAAATCCTTAAAGCCTGGTTTAAGTAAAAAGACCAGTGATATTGAAGTCAGTTAAGGTGTTCCATGTTGTTCATGTTTTTGTATAAGGAATAACTCTACTTGGAGTTGGCTAGGTGGAGTTGGGGAAATAATGCTAGACCTTGATACAGCATAGCAAATGAATCTGAATCCTGCTTTGGAAACTCATTAGCTCAGTGACCGTGGGCAAATCTCCAAGCCTCAGTTTCCTCATCTAGAAAATGGCCATAATAATAGCATCTTCCTCATGGGGAGTGTATATCTATGTCTATCTACACAGATAAATAGATAGATATAGAGTTTTGTGCATTACAACTCTTAAAGCATTATATAAATATTTGCTATTATTATTAACTTAGTTGTAACACTCTTAAATCATTCCTATGAATGAGGCAACACACAGTGGTAAGGGCACTAGGTTAGGAGGCTTCCAGTCACCTTGGCCAAATCCCCTCACTTCTCTGAACCTGAGTTACTTTGTTTGTTCAGTTGAGGACAGCAAGGAATCTGCTAACTACCTTGCAGGGGTATTGTGAAGATCATTTGATATAACAGGAGGAAGGAAACAAGCATTTATGTACCAGGTATTGAGCTGAGCACTTTGCAAATACTATTTAATTTGATACTCACAACAACCTTGGGAAAGAAGTGCTATGATTATCTTGATTTTACCTTTGAGGCAGACAGTGGGGAGACTAAGTGACTTGCCCAGGGTCACATAGCTTGTATCTGTCTGATGGAGAATTTTGAACTCAGGTCTTACTCTAGGCCCAGCACTCTATCCACTGTGCTACCTAGCTGCCTCCAATAATGCATGAGAGTTCACTTTGCAAACAGCATCGTGATACAGAAATATGAGCTATGATTATGATTTTGTTGTCCTTACAAAGGATATAAGGGCAGATACAGATGGAGAAACCAACTCAGATTGATTATTGTTGTTCTTTATCTTTTGTTCTCGAAGGGGACCATGACATCAGGAGAATGATGCCATGACGTGAAAGTGAGTTGGATTTAAGTGAGGCAGGGCCGTGCAAAGTCACTCACTTTCTCCTCTGGAGCCGTCTGGGTCCAGTGGCCAGATATAGATCAGGACTACTGGAGATGGCTCAGCTCAGGTTGATTGAACATTTGGCTAAAGGGCATACTGAGAGTTAGCTCTGGAGTGAGATCCTTTGAAGCCTGACTCTGTTATTTTGTGATAGCTATCCCCCTTACCTTCATTTACAAATGAAACAAATTTCATAAGCATGGCCTCAAATGCCTTTATCTAAGTCACTGATAAAAACGTAAACAAAGACCTAAGACAGATTCAGATGCATTTTACTGCAGACCTTTCTCCAAGCTGACACCACTGATGACTATTCTGGGGATAAAAATACATGTATCAGCTACCTAACAAAGGTTGTTGTGAGGAAAGTACTGAGTTCTATCATGGATTAAGTAGGCCTTTGTAGGCTGGCCTGGGAACCTAATTCCCTTGTTAGAGTAATAAAACACCTACTAGAAGCCACAATCATTTTCTATACTGGAGACTCTAGGTTTGGAAGGACATTTAAACTTCTTGTTAGAAAGAACATACATCATGACCAGGATGGGAGGTAGCTATTAACAAAAAGCATGCTACCCCATTGTTTTTATGGGAAAATCATTCCAAATGACTGGCTTACAAAATAGGCTTTTATGTCTGTTAGCAATAGGTGTCATGGAAGAATAATACAACCAGGGGAAGGACCCAGTGAGGAGTTGTAGGCTTACTCATACTGGGCATAGAGAAAGAGGATTTAAACCAGCTCCATCTAGTGCTGGTGTGCTGGTAGTTTTCAGTCATGTTTGAACCTTCATGACTCCATTTGGGGTTTTCTTGGTAAAGATATTGGATTGGTTTGCCATTTCTTTTTCTAGCTCGTTTTACAGAAGAAGAAACTAAGACAAGCTGGGTTAAGTGATTTGCCCAGGATCACATGGTTACTAAGCGTCCGAGGCCGGATTTGAACTCAGAAAGATGAGTTTTTTTGACTTCAGGCTGGGCACTCTATCCACTGCGCCACCCAGCTGCCCTGTACCAATGTTAGACTAGCTTCACTTTTGTGGGATTCATAGTAGGGTAGTGAGGAATCAGGGGAGTGCTCTGAGAAGTTTATAGCGGTTTGGCTGAGGCCTTCTATGTTTTCCTTCCCAACTCCTTCGGTGGTGGTGGTGTGTTTGTGGTTTTGACTGCTGTACTTCAAGGAAAGGAAGTCAAAGACTTATGTGATGGGCTTGTGTTCCCTGGGTATCTAGGTAGGGTCCATGGTTGGGCCCTGTGATGCTCTGGAGATGGAACAGAGTTCATATAATACAGGATCTGAGTGTTAATGACATGACCTGAAGCTTCAGCCTAAGAATCACATATCAAATCTTCCATGATTTCTCAATCCCTCACATAGGGTCTACTTTTAATCCCTTCCACAAAACTCTTTACTAAAGGTACCATCAAGGAATAAAATAGACCAATTCAAGACTGAGCTCCTGTAATTTAAACTGCTCTCTTTTGAAGAGAGGTAATGAGTTATGGATTCTACAGTGGACTAGAGACAGCAAGGTGTCTCAATGCGTGAGAGGTCCGGACTTGAAGTTAAAAAGACCAGCATTCAAATCTCTATTCAAACACTTATTTGCTCTGTGGCTCTGGGCGGGTTACTTGACCTCCCTCAGTTTCAGTTTTCTCATCTGCAAAATGGGCAAAATAATATCACCTCCCTCACCAGGTTATGAGGATCAAGGGAAATGACAGTAGAGAGCTTTGCAAACCTTAAAGGGCTATATAACGCTAGTTATTTATAATTAATTTGCTATTACTATTACCACTAGCCCAGAGCTGATTGTTTGTCTATGTTGTATAACCTACCTATGTGATGGCATATCCATACCCAAATGGCTCTGACTTTCTCCAGGTCTGTATGAGCTTCCTGGAGCAAGTCTTTCACCAGTTCTTCCAAACCAGATTTGACCTCCACCTGTTTGGAAAGGAACACTATGCGTCAGAAAGAGGACAACTGTGGAATAAAAGATCCGATGTTGACTGAAGTGTGGAGGATAGAGGGGGCCAATGCAATAGCCAAGTGTGACTCATGGCAAGAACTGATCTGGCCAGTACTGACCTGACCTTAAACCCCCTCTTCTTTTGCCCTTAGTTTATGGTTTCCCTTTTCTTTTACTCATCATTCTTCTAGCCACTAGAGTTTTTGAGGGATCAGAATATAAATGCTACACCTCTTACTTCCTCTTCCCCCAAACTCCTGCCAGTTTTGCAATTGAAACTAAGTTGTTTTATTATTGGGGGGGATGTGTAATATCGGGGTTGGGGCAGCAATGAATCAGGGATGGCCAAGAGGTTCCAGGACCAGAAGAACAACTCAATAGGATAACACTGGTCTTAGCAGACAAGGGAGAAGGTCCAAGGAGGTCAGCTAAGAATGGTTTTAGCAGAAAGGTCTATGTTAGTGGGGTTCATCACCTGGAGGTGGGGAGGGTGGTCAAAAAGAGCAACAGAACTAAGAAGAGTGAAGGTGATGAATTAACTCATCCTTGCTCTGAGTTCATTTTAGCCAGAAAAAATACATAGGAATGGAGGGGCAGGGAAGCTGGCAACAGTAGGCATTTCCCATAGTCTGTATGTCAATGTGGATGCAGACCACCTTTAGAGGAGTTTGTTTGAGCTTGGGTAAGTTTTCAATATTCTAGAGGAGCTCTGAGAAGCTGGACTTTGGTTAGTATGCTAACCCATACCCTGAGAGGGTCTTTCTCTCTGAGAATCAGAGGCAAGCACAGCACCATGGTGGATATCTTACCTTGGAGGCATATGCATCCAATTTTTCAAACTGCCGTAGGTCTAATGGCATGGACTTCAGACTAGACCGATCCCAAGGGTAGGCTGGAAAACACCAAGAGAACTTTCTCAGTCATGAAGGTAACTCTTAATAGTGTTGCTCATTCTAGGAATTGCAATGTCTAGTGAGCTAAAGCCAGATAAATGGAGATATGGGGAATTATAACCAAAGTGGGCTTTTGGCACAGACTAGTTGGAACAGTTCTAACCTTACAGGCAAAAAAGTGTTCACGTAATAGAAATGCTTTTTCTCTGTCTTCTTCTCAGAGACTCTCTCAAGAGATTTGAGTATTATTCTTGGTTCTGTCATTTACTAGCTGGACAAGTCTGTGGGCCTCAGTTTCCTCACCTTAAAATTGTGTGTGTGTGTGTGTGTGTGTGTGTGTGTGTGTGTGAGAGAGAGAGAGAGAGAGCGAGAGAGAGAGAGAGAGGAGGGAGAGAGTGAGAATGGATTAGGATAAATATTCTTCCAACTCTAATGTTCTGTGATACTATGAATAAGATAAACAAAGTCAACATAATTTATTATTACTTAGCATAAATCAATCTCTCCCAGTCAAGTGGATTTTTGTAAATGTAGGTATCATTTAGATGCTGGCTACTTCAGTTTCTCCATCTATAATAAGTATGTCTATAGAGAAACAGGATACAACTAACTCTCAGCTATCTATAGTCATAGGAGATGAGGTGAGGCACTAAAACCTACAAATAATCCATTATCTCATAGCATCCAGTTATTTCAAGCTCTGTATCCTCTGTCCTGGCCATGGATCAGCCTCATGTGTAAGGCAGGGTATATGGGACCCAAGTGGTGCAATTTGGAGGGCACTTCAGAAACTTCTGATCCAAAATATCTTCCCTCCTCAACAAATTATTTAAAAACCCCCCATCGGTTTACACTATGTATAGGTTCATTCTCTTAGCTTATCAGTCATTACTGGCACTGTCACTTTTTAAAATATAAACCTTCCTTCAAGGACTGAAAGATGACATTTTACAGGGGGTAATATATTTATTGAGAAGCATGCTGGCACTGAGGATAGAGAGTAAGCCTCAGGAGCAGGAAGACCTGGGTTTAAGTCCTTCTTCTGGCACACACCTGCCATGTGACCCTGGGCAAGTCATTTAACCCTCTCAGTGCCCCAGGAAACCCTCAAAGACTAAGTTTTGGATCAGTTGATGATTTGCACTGGTAGAGGAAGTTTTCTCATGAGGGGTTTACTATACTAGTGAAATCATAGGCCCAGAACAACACACACACACACACACACAAAATCCAGTTTGTATTTTGTATGCATATACAAACACACCCTTATTCCTAAGACACACACACACACACACACATATGTGTGTGTGTGTGTGTGTATGTATTTGTTGTTGCTATTCTGTCACTTCAGTTGGGTCCAACTCTTCGTGACCTCATTTGAGGTTTTCTTGGCAGAGATACTGCAGTGGTTTGCCATTTCCTTCTCCAGCTCATTTTACAACTGAGGAAACTGAGGCAAACAGGGTGAAGTGACTTGCCCAGGTTCACACAGCTAGTAAGTGTCCAAGGCCAGATTTGAACTCAGGGAGATGAGTCAGGCTTGATGCTCTATCCACGGCACCACCTAGCTGCCACATATTTGTATACATGCAATATATGCACAGATATATGTAATCTATGCACATGTATACCTCTACATGCTTTAAGGAATAAGACAAGATGGACTTTTAAAAAGATAAAGTTCCACATCTGGGTTAAAAAAATCTACAACACAAATATAGGATACAGTTAGTATGTCTAGACTGTGCTTCCCGTGAAAAAGATGGGAGATAGTGGTGGGAGATGTTGAACTACAAATCTAATATGAGTCAACAGTATCACATGACAGCCAAAAAAGCTACTGTTATTCTAGTGTGCATTAAGAAAGGCATAATGGCCTGGACAAGGGATATAATAGCTCTGCTTTACTCTACTCTGGGGCAGCTAGGTGGTGCAGTGGACAGTGCACTGGCCTGGAGTCAAGAAGACCTGAGTTCAAATTTGACCTCAGACGTACACTAGCTGTGTGACTCTGGGGAACTCATTTAACCCTGTTTGTCATCTGTAAAATGAGCTACAGAAGGAAATGGCAAGCCACTTCAATAGCTTTGCCAAAGGAAACCCCAAAAGGGATCACGGAAGATTCAGACATGACTGAATTATCCCACTCTGGTCAGGCCATATTTTGAATGTTGTGTTTTTGTTCTGGGCACCATATTTGAAGACAAGATGGAGTGCTTCCAGCAGAGGTTGACCTTAATGGTAAGGGAACTAGAGGACAAGTCAGATAATGATCATTTAAAAGAAGTAGGGATATTTAGGCTAGAAAGGAGAAGATTCAAAGGGGAGTCGACAGCTATCTTTAAGTATTTGAAGGGCTGTTTTGTGGAAGCATTGATTATTCTTAGCCCCAAATTGCAGAATTAGGAGGAAAGGGGTAGAAATCAGAGGCATATTTTGGCTTGAGGTAAATAAACTTCTTAACAATTAATGCTATCCAAATGTGAAATGATTTGCCTTGGAGGGTAGTGGGTTTCCACTCATTGGAGGTCTTCCAGCAAAGGCTGGAAATCATTTTCTAAGAATATTTTAGCAAAGACTATTTGTGGGTGTAGATTGAACTTGATGACCCTTGAGGTCCCTTCTACCTTCTTGATTAAGTGGTTCATTATTGAGTTATTAACAACTTAGTATTAATTAGTATATATTGGCTTAGGGGCAGCTAGGTAGTACTGTGGATGTAGTGCTGGGCCTGGAGTCAGGAAGACTCATCTTCCTGAGTTCAAATCTGGCTTCAGATACTTACTAGCTGTGTGACCCTGGGCAAGTCACTTAACCCTGTTTGCCTCAGTTATCCCATCTGTAAAATGAGCTGTAGAGGGAAATGTCAAACCACTACAGTATCTTTGCCAAGGAAACCCCAAATGGGGTGACAAAGAGTCAAACATGAATGAAAATGACTGAACAACATGAATCAGCTTATCAGATCATTTCCAAACTGATAGATTTTCTGGAGCAACTCTAAGATAGTGAGATACAAAAGAAATTTCCTTAACGGAGGAAAAAGAAAGAGGTCTAGGGCTTTGGGACTGAGATTGGTATATGGGTAAAACTGGGTGGGTGATGAACCACTACGTAAAGCATCTAGAGGGAGGCAGAGTGAAAAAGGGCACTAACTTTGGTAGTAGTATGGTAGGATACAAGAGAAAATATCCTTATTATAATTTTATCCAGAATTCCCTTTGTCCCCTATTAAAGCTTTTACCCTGCATTTCCCATGGCAGGTGCTCAATTAATGTTCATTGGATAGATGGAGGGAGGGAAGAAGAGAGGGATGGAACTATTTAAAAAGGAGTAGAATGAACTGACTTTGACTGAACTCTTAATGATGCAGGAAAAGGTCAGAAAGTAAGCAGCCCAAGGAGGTTATAAGTCAAAGGAGTCCTAGATACTTGACCAGTTAAGTAATGGACCCTTGAATAATGAGACTTGGCTATCCACACAATTTTATTACCTAGTTTGCAAGATGAAGACAGTAAGTGAAAGAATATTACTAATGTGAACTCAAGCTTTGAAAAATTATCTCCTATTTAATGGTAATCTCCATGAGGGCAGTGGAAATCTCTTAGGTCATCATTGTATCTCTCCCTGGGGCTATGGTGCTTAGTAGATGGTCACTATATTTAAACTGAGTTGAAATGAGCTGAATTGTTTCATCAGAAATATTTTCTAATGTTGCAAGCTGAACTTCCTACCACTATGAAAGAATAATTTGATGTTAAGAAGAACCTGGGCATTTTAATTTATCACTGCCAAGCACTTTAGGATGGCCATTGACAGGGACCCTGACCCCAGAAGTGCTTCGTCCTGATGATTCAGGGAGAAGGCCTCTTTGAGGATGCCCTTTAGTGCTGTGATCAGCACAAAGTGACCAGGAGAATAGAGATGCCAGCCAAGGCAGGAGGACAGGGAGAGAAGGCATGGGAGAAAACATGGAATATTAGATTTTGTGCTTTTTTTGCTTAAATCATAAATACCGGCAAACACCCTGGGAATTGTCATTGAACAAAGACCTTTGGCAACTGCTGATTAGCTTAGCAGACAACAGCGGGAAGGGAGGATGGTCACTGTGGTCCATTGTGACACTGTGGGATTACTTGGCAGTAAAGTAGGAAAACTCCAGTGCTGGGAGTGCCATTGCCAAGGGGCTCCAACCCTTCCGAAGGGCTTAGTCCTGGGAATGGAAAGTTGTGACTTTCTTCTGATCACCAGACCAGCACTGTCCGGTTCACATGCCCTTTAGCTCATATCTCACATACCTTCCATTTCAAGAGTTACTACTCTCAGACACAGGGTCCTGAACAAGAGATCTTTTCATCCATGATACCCTTGAGAGATCTTTGCATCCTACTGAGGCAGAGGGAAGTGAAGAGAAAATTTGGCTGGGATTCAAGAAAACAGGGCTTTTTCCTGGCCCCATCCCTCAGCAACTGTGACCTAGAGCAAGGGACTGCCTTCTGAGACTACAGGGTAGGGATGAAAGGAGGTAATGGTATGGTTATTATTCTCCTTTTTTACTTTTCCATTACTCTCCTGCTCCAGACACTTCTTGAGGAGTAGATGGTAAGAGAAGGAAGCAGTGAGCTGACTAATAGCTCTCTTCCTTCCTATCCCCAACATTCTAGCTTGGGAGATTGCAAAGAGGGCAAGTATAATTGCATGGCCACAAACAGAGATTGGAATTGCCAAGGTCAGTGCATGCTGCTCCAAAAGTATCCAAAAAGTGGGCCAAATGCTTAAGGGAGGTAGGATTGGGGAACCAACTTTCTGATCATTAGCCCCTAAGACTTATGGACAAGTGGGTAATTACAGGGTTGCAGAAAGATGTGGGCTAACACTCTTCTTCTCCACACTGTCTATCCATCCACAGTAAGCAAGGGATTTCACTTTTTTTAGATCTTAGTCCATCCATCTCCAAAATGGAGAATACTAGATGGTCATATTTCACAGAGACATGGAG